AAGGTAAAAATAAATAGGTAGCTCAAATTATTTTGAAGTTTAAACTGTTATTCCTTGTGGACAAGTACCTGCAGCTCTGAAAGCCCAATGATTCACTTGTGATATCTTTACACGGATGCTAAGTTTCAGACTACTTCAGAATACTTTCATTTTCTGTGAATTAATTGCAGCTTTTAATGTGCTTATTGGGGCATGAGATACTGCTGTTTATTCTCTCTCTATGCCATCATCTGCAAATTGCTTAATAGCATAAATCAATATTACATAAATGCTAAGATTTTCTCTCAAGCAGCAGGACCAATGTAACAACAAAAAGATAATAGTGAAAGGCTTTTATTTGTGGTTGTAGTGCTGTTGAGATCCTGCTGGATTACCAGGTTAGATTTGTTGTAATGTGGAGATTCTGTTCACGGCTTTTTAAGATTTACTGACTTTTTAAGATGAGGTTAGGCTAAGAAATCACTATTCTTGAAGTAAAATACACCCTGATACACAGAGGATTAAAACTGGGTGGCTGATATAGTTAGTGTCTACAGCCACGAGACCCAGTGGACTGTGATGGACTTTGCCTCCCAGAAGGCAATGGCATCGGGTCTGCTCATGAGTAAGCTCCTAAACCCCAGCGGCTCTCAGTCTGCCTCTGAGCCACCCAGATGCCCAAGAGCAGGAGCACACAGTGCTCTGATTTTAATCCCACTCACAGAGACTTCTGAGATGGAGTGTATGTGATGGTGGCTCCGTGGGCAGTGCCAGGAGCCTGCCTGCTGCGTGTTAAGATGAACCTGTTGGACTTGTTGAGGTCTGAGAGTAGATGTGACACAGACTGTCCTTCTCCTCAGCACTGGAGAAAGGTGGGACACACTGGCAGACTGAGCAGCACCAGCACAAGCCTCTCTTGAGCATTTGACATTGTGACCACGGGACAGCCTGAGGTCAGTAACAACTACAGGCTTGTGTGACTCGTGTGGTGCCCTGGCCCAAACTGGTCTTCTTCAGCTGTTCCTTACTTAGGGAAGCATGAAGAGAATTAAGTCTTGGGTTCAGCAGCCCTTGATCTTTTACTTCTGGTGCGTGCTCAGCAGGGTGTAAAGAAAGGAAGATGTTTCAGCTCTTGGGCAGGACAACTCATCTCTGCAAGAAACTACACTGACACATCTTTTTGCATCTGAGGGATAGTCTGCTGATTAGATTTTTTTTCAATAGTAGCAAACAAACAAACTTTGCAGCTGGAAAAACCAACAATTTGTTCAGCTGGTATGGATTTGTTTTTACTCTCTTCTGTGTTAAACTTCCAAAAATAAATTAATACTGGCATGGAGACCACTCCAAAATTTACATGGTATTTCAGTCCTTCTCAATTAACTTTGATTGCTTATATAAGACTGAAGTGATATATGTTTGGTGTGGGACTGGCTGGCAGGAGGATATGAATTTATATTTAATTATCAAAGAACTCTGTCATCCCAGATTGATATAACCAAAGACATCTTTCTTCCTTTTATGGCTATTCATGTTTTCTACCACTTGAGATTTTTCCATGTTAGCAAAATGAAAAAGAATCAAAAGTCTCTTGATCTAAATCTTTTATTTGTACTGGACTGAAAAGATATTGAGTTGCTTATATGACAATCAGTACCTGACAGATGTAACATCTCTTTCTAATGCCCTTTATGCAATGTTTCTTAATGTAAAAAATAGTAAAACAAAAGAAAGAAAATCTGGGGCTTTGGTTTACCTTCTTGTCTTGTTAAAGAAGGTGAGGAATTGAATTGTCACAGGTGAACTGAGACTACATCCTGCAGCTAGAGAATGTAAAGAGAATTTAAAGAAATCTTTAAAAAAAGTCTTACATAGTATTATCAATTCCTATATAAAATAATTTAATATTTTAAATACTTTTTAAATAATTTATCTGTATTTAAAACTAAGTTTTTAAAATTTTATGTTTGGAATCTTTTTGGCATTAACACTTAAATAAATTTTTTAAATATTAAAAATTTTCTAAATATTCAGTACATTTCAATATAAAAACAGAAAAGTAATATACATTGTTCACACATAGTATTGTACATGACACCTGAGCTCTAGAGTGAGCTTTTGAATTTGTCAGGCAAGTCATAGCTTAGTTGTGGTGAACCACTTCTTATTCTCTATCTGGACTCTTTATGATTATAACAGATCTTTACCATCAATACGTAGACTTTAATATTATATACACATACTGTATACAGTATTTAATTTCCATCTCTATGTCCAGAATTGTAAATAAATATTTTTTCACAGCATTTAGATCAAAATATTGTTTAGCGCATACACAAATATATTTAAGACACACACAAGTTGACAAGAACCATACTGATTTTGCTCAGCTCAGTTACAGGAAAAATTAACTTATAGGTGCTAAACAACATAATGGAGGAGCCACTCATATTTAAAATGTATAACAAACTTATTACCAAATGTTTACAGGTTGTGTCAACAGTAGGAAAATGAGGATTCCCTTGTCCCCTTGGTGCATTTTCATTGACCCTGCCAACGACAAAGGCAGTGTGGGCAGAATGCTGGTGTCTCACAGCCCCTTCGTCAGCACCCACAGTTCTCTGACAGTTTTACCAGCTCACTGGGACAGACTCTGGCAGGACTTCACTTAAGGCCAAACTCTCCAGTTTTTAAGGGTAGGCATGTCTGTCACTGAACATGAAGTTTACTGTCAAATTGTAACTTGCTTTCTCTATTCTCCTGTATTTAGAAAGATGATTTCCACAGATACCGTAAATGGATTTGGGTGGAAAGAGCAGGACTCTCATGCTTCCTATACCACATGCATCATGTACTGTGAGAGCAATAGCTGTGTCCCATTGTGCAAGGGGGTCCTCAAAAATCTTTGTTTTTCTTTGAAAAGCTGTTCTCCAAAAGGATCCCAAAACTTTACAAAGAATAAATGGAACACCCTACATAGCTGTTTAGAGATACTTGCAGCAGGAAAATACACCAATGCAAATCAACATTCTCATCAGGAAGCTTAGCCTAGAAAGATTACCCAGAAGAGGAGCACATGCCACATGATATGTGCAGTTATTCACAAATGAACAAAACTCAAATTTCAGAGTTTGCACTCATAGTTTCCCATTCATATGCAATCTATAAACTAGAAACTATCTGCAGGAATTGTTATATGGCTTATTCTAAATAGTTGTTCCTGAAAACATAACTTATTGACAAGTAATTCTGACACATATTTTCAGGATGAACTTACAAGAAGGTTTTGAGTGTTTCACTTGCATTAAAGTGTGAGATTTGGAATGGGCCTTTAGGAAAAGGAGAATTCACAAAATGAGAAATATCCTGCCTGCCTTTCACTCCTCGTGACCTATCTCAGGCACAAAGGTGCTTGTACAAGGTGTTCAATCAGGTGAAGAGTGGTATCTGGGGTGACTGGGCTTGCTTTCCATGAAATTTGATTTTTGTGCTCTCAGAGGAGCAGACCTTGAGAAGGAAATTGCTACCTAGGGAGGATAAGCATTACAGCCACTTCATTTTAACCCATCTTAAGAGAGAAACTGAGGCCTTGAGCTTATTATACAGTAAAAATATGGTACAACAACAGGCCTCTGTGTCTTTGAAGACCTCAGCCAAACAATTTGGATTCTGTAGGATAAAGGAAGCAACCAATGCTAAACTAATCCTCTCCCACATCTTTTACCACTTATAGCACAGGTTAGGACTTCTGGTGTGCCAGTGAGGGACTAATTCTCAGCTCTTTTGTACACACAAAATTTCAGGTCCTGGTATTCTCAGCTCAGCCCTTTTCATTAAGACATCAAAGTGACATCAAAACTCAGCATATATTGACAAGAGAATTTCAGAACCAAAAATAACATAAAGTGTTGAACTACTAGTTTTGCCTTTGCAAAAGTCTATCTAGACTTAGGGAAATTTGTTTTTAAGTTTTTACCTTTCCTTGGATGCATCTGCAGTGTGTATATATATAAATATATATTTATACAGTTAATAGTTTATATCAGAAGCAAGAAGCTTTATTATTCATTAGTACTCATCTGATGATAGACTGAGCAGAAAAGGTGCAGTTTTCTTGTAAAGACAATGTTACGGTGACTCAACAGAAGGAGTTCTATTAAAGGCTAAGCATACAATAGATCAAAAATTTAATTTTTAAATGAAAACCTTGATCTTGGGATTTAATGGCTTTTTTTTTTTTGCTTTAGAGTCTTCATTTATGCTTAAGCCTGTACAAGACATAGAGTTAATTTTTCCATACTGGAATCCAGTTAACGGTAAAGAGAAAAGTGTGGGGGTTAGGATTTTTTAAACAAGTGATGATGAAGGCATCTTAAATCAATAATTTTTCCTTTAGATAGTTAAAATGGTTATTAGTTGAAACAATGCCTTTCTGGGGAGAAAGAAGAAGCAGTAAACACTGCAACAATTACTGTGAAGCCTGTTTTAGAATTAAAACCAAATTTCTAGGTCAAACTCAGAAATATGTGGAAGGACAAGTATGTGGTGTGTCCTCTGAACTTTCAGGTTTCTGGTGTGTCAGACAAATTCAAAATCCTGAAAGTCATATATTTTGTTTGCAAAGTACATGGAGGGAGTTACAGGGTGTGAGTGAGGAGCTGAAGAGCTACATAAGACATTTCTCCCTTTTCTCTGTTTGAGCAGCCATTTGGATTTAATCCTCTCCTAAATGTGTTTATGATCACTGATTCAAATAGATGAGATGGACCGTGCTATCCTCTATAACAAAGTCTGGAAGTGCCATTTCTGGCATTGCATACCTCTTATTTTGGAACAGCCAAACATGTGTAAGAGGTGGTGGTGCAATACCCTGTCATTCTGAAGGGACTTGCCATTTTCCACAAAAGAGCGCTCAGAGGAGCTACACAGACACAGCCCAGAGAGAAACTCTTGGCTTCCCTTCTGAAATGCCATTCTTCCAAAAGGAACTCAGGACCAGAGAGGGGGCGGACAAAAGAAAGCAGACAATGAGAAGCATTATACTCATTAAAAACAAGCAATCAAAAGACCCCACATTCTTATTTGCTACATACCAATCAGAGAAGCAGGTTTTAGTTAGGAGTTAGGCAAAATCTTTAGACACAGCCTCTACAAAGTTTGGTGCTGACATTAAAATACCAATTGTACAAATGATTGTGAATACTGAAAAGGCCATCAAGCAGAGCCGATCCACTACAGAGGCTGCAAATTTCCATTCATTGCAAATGGCTTCCTCTTCATCCTGGTCTCTGAATCGGTTTGCAATGTACCTGACCTCTTCCAAAATCTTAGCCAAATCTGGGTCACCTTCAGAGGGGTGGCCACTGTGCAGCAGGTTTTCTTCATCTGTTGGTGAGCAGGTCATCCTCCCACAGATGACGCCAGAATCAGTGGTGGGTGTGCAGTGCACCCCTTCCAGCCCCCTGAACCCAATGTACAGCATATTACCATTACTGGATTGCTGTCCACTCACAGTGTTCATCTCCACACTAGACAGGCTACAGCGACGCTGTTTATGTTGACAGGCAGGACGTACTTTATCTTCCCCTGGTCTTTTCATCCTCAGAAACCAAGCACACCAGTTCAGAAGGATGATTCTTGTCTGAAAGAAAATTTTTGAGAATAAGCATCTTTTCACACAGCCGCTGTTTCTGGTGCCGCAGGTATTCAGGCAGCTGGGGTGACTGGCCCATGGTCTCTGCTTAGCCTGCACCAACTTCTAGAAAATGGTGCTAGAGTTTTCCAGCTGATTAATTTACCAATCACTGGGGTTCTTTTCTTACTCTAGCAGTGATATTGATTGCCTCAGACTGACTGTCAGTACTGGGACTCCTCCCTCCTCTGGTGGGAGCGTCCATAGTGTTAACTCTTCCTGACACTTGAAGAGTGACATGGCAGCCTTTTCCATCTTTACTAGAAACCATGGGTTAGACAAAACCAAACCAAACTCTTACTGAAGAAGAGTTACTTTTTAATAGTCTTAAAAACTCTGCTTTGGATGGTAGTCAGTAAAGTTACAATTCTTTTTCTCTTATTTGCGCTCTAATATTAAATTCACACCCATTACTGTTTGGGTGGGGCTGCTGAAACAGATTCTGGACTGGACCACCGAGCTTTAAAATGTTATGGCTCTGTTCTCATATTGTGTTCACAACAGTTGTAGATTTCAGAAAAGAGATCTGGATATAACATGAAGAAAATATGGAAAAATTACTTTGATTTAAAAAAAAAATTGCCGATTTAATCTCTGTGTATCATTTTACTGTTTTCCACATTGCCTTAATCCAGCCTTACAGAAAATGCAGGAAAGCCAGAGACTGTTCCACTTCAAATGAAAGCTTCTGTAATTTATTTAAATCAGATTTTAGGAGCTCATGCCAGCATTTCTTTTTCAGAGTTCTAGTGAAATATTATTGTATCATATAATATGCAAACCTTTTCCTATAATTAATATTAGATTTGGTCCATTTATTCTGACTGTGGATTGTTACTCACAGTAGATGTTATATCCATGCAGGTATCCCAGCCAGAGACAGATCTTTCCCTATTACTTTCTTTATGCTATCAAGCTTCACCAAGTAAGATAATATTTTGTTTATTTGAGGGCCTGATCCAAAATCCACCAGTATCCAAATAACGTTTGTTGGACTTCAGCTTCTCAACACTACAGCTCCTCAATGTCAAGTACTCTGTTTTCTGAGGATGTTTGGCTCAGGAGTAAACACTGTCCCCTTTAGGTCATCAAACACACGTCTAAAGAGATCTACCTTTTATTCTCTTCACTGAAATTTACTTTATAGTCACCACCCCAGAACAAACCAGGAAATATCTCATTATCTCTTGTCCTCAGGGTACTGCTGTATGCACATTATTTCCAGATAGTAAGGATTATAATAACTCATTGTTCCAGAGAGAAAAAAGAAGAAAGGGCTTTCCATCTTCAGAAAGGCCTGATGCTGCCCTGGGCTGGGTGAAGTCAAAGGAGGGGACACCTAGCTGATGACAGTACTGTGTAGTAATCTAATATCAGCACAATGTTCTCTGTAAAACCCACCCCTCATAGAAGGACATTATTTAAAAAGTCTTAAATGCTTAGAAAAAATGCTTTAATTCCTTGGACTTTACAGATGTTCTTGAACAGTGAAGTAAAGATCAGGATTTTCAGAGAATTCCCCTTTAAGGGCCATCTTTAACAGATGCTTTTTAGGCTATGGATGTTTCTGTTTGGGCAGCAGCTAAGTATGTAGTGGCTGCCCAGCTGCACCTCAAGAGTAACGTATTTCATGCATTTATCATCTCCATCAGCACCTTACTCTATTCTTCTACCTGGTTCACTTCTAACATCTAAAGCTAATTTGAAAATCACCTTCAGTTTTATATTTATGTTTTAACAAAATCCTGAATTGCATGTAGCTGTTCTGAAGGAGATGAGGAATTAGTGGAGGTATATTCATTCTCTTTTGCACACAAACATTTTCTAAGAAACCAACCACATGGAACATATCTGGACACCTCATTTCTGGTGAAACTGCTTTTCCAAACAAAATGTCTGGGGAGGATTTGTATGTTTTTAACGGTAGAAGGTAATCATGGGTGACTAGCTACTCTATGAGCCGGACATTTATGCAATGGATAGTGAAGGAAAATCAAACCTTACCCATTTAGGCATTTTTCCTCCATCTGGATCGTGATGGTGGTATTGTAGAACAATAACAGTGACAACCACAGAAAGACCAACAATAATCATAGTGCTGGCAAAATACTGAGCTGCAAAATAAGGAAACAATTACAGGAACATTCTTTGACTGATACAGCTTTAATAAGGGATGTTTATATATGCATTCATAGCATTTAGTTCTTTTTCCAGGGTAGTGCTGCTCTAGATACTTCTGAAAGATTTCTCAACAGCAGAAAGATCAGACATTATATTGAGGGCATAGCCAGCATTTAGCTGGTTTTTTTTGTGGATCTGAGCACCTGCCTTTTCTAAGAAACCTTGACACAGGGTGCCTTCTAATTTTCTTTCAGCATTATTATATAAACTGACTAGTACTTGTCTTGAAAAGTTTCTCTTTGTTTGAACAACTACAGTGAGAAGATTTAATTATATTTAGCTCATGCATTCCAATTTCCTAATTAGAATTAGGAATACAGAACACAATCTGGCCAATTGTGTCAAAACTACAACAAATTCTTCCATGGAAAATTGATTCTCTTCTGATTTCTGTTTTCCCCAAATACACATATATTCTCTATTTCATTCAGAGCAGAGAGCACCCATTAGAGCCTCTCATCAATTGGCCATATTTTTCTAACTCAATTGCAGTCATCCATTTTACATCTGGTGATTTTCCTTAATGCTGGCCTTTGTGCAAAGTCATTGCACCTTGTTTGCTGAAAAAATCCAAGTGACTAAAAGCTTACCAATTAAGGGCACAGAGTCAGAGGTTGCTGGCATAATTTCAGCCACAAGCAGCATGAAGACAGTGAGAGACAATAAAACCGTTATACCTAAAAGATAAACATAAAGTATGAAATCATACCAGTATCTTACAATTACAACAAGGAGAGAAACAAAATTAATCTGAAGGAGTGCTCTGTGCAAGATGCAATCCCACTGTAATCCTGCTCCAGCCCCTTAGTGGTACTCCTGTCCTTCCTCGTGCTGCCTCAAGTTCAGGAGAGCAGTGCTGCCAAACTGGCACCAGTGCTTGCACAGACATAGGTACTTTTACATCCCTGTAATGGTTCAACTTTTCTCATCATTTGCTAATTAGCTGAGGCAAATCAAAGCAATTCTTGTGCTGTATTAGCTTTAGAAACATGGTGTGAATCTGAGTATTTGAGCATGTGACACTTGATTAATTGTCATGGAAGCTACAGGTGGTGTGATACATAAATTTCCTCAAAAGCAGATTTGCTGTCTTGGACAGAATTTGGCATCCTTTGATATTGGTGTTGGGTTCTGCTGGGGATTATGCCCAAGCAGTCTTGACTGTTGATTTTTGGAGTTTGACTTCTGTTGCTCAGTGATGAGTTCCCACCTTTCCGGAAGAAGATTTAACTCTTTTCTCAGAACTAGACTTAAACAGTAAAGAGTCATTGTCAGATGGGAAAGGATTAAGGAACAAATAATTCATCTTAAAATATGGTGAAAGACAACAATTGAAGAGGCTATTAATCATAAATTTAACCATATTCTGGAGAAATGTCAAGTTTTCTACCTTTTAACAGCAATGTTTACTTAGCAGAAGTCAGTTCATTTGAATTTTGTATGGGACAAAAGATTTCTTTATATAAACTCCATCTTAAAGATTAAGTACTCAAAATCAGATTTGTTTCACAAATCGTTGCTTAAGTTCACTATAAAAAGTAAAATAAGAGCATTTAGACTCAATCTTTCTGAGAAGACACCATAGGCTCTTAATACAAGTCAATATTAAAAGGAAGTATTAAGAAGAATTCAGTGTTAAAGTATTCAAATGTGTATTTGTAAACTTAAGTTTTACCTAATGAACGTAAGATTCGGCAAATAACTGTCAAAAAATGAAAGCCTACTTCTTAAGGAAGGTACTCAGGAATTGTTTATGCCTCTGCTGGTTCAGCATCAAACACTAAAAGTAGTTTGTGAGCCAGAACAGGACACACCAACTCTTCCTCCTGCCTAAAACTGTTTAAAAAGAAACTTTAAAATGACATCTTCTTTTGGTTTAGTCATTTGCAATATCCTATTAATACTCTACCTAGTGAGATTTTTTCTCCCGAGTCTGCTGGAAGCAGGAAAACCAACAAGGCGAGTGCCGATATCAGGACACAAGGAATAAGGAGATTGAGTCCATAATAAAGTGTCCTACGTCTCATGGTAACTGTAAAGGTCACATCTGGATAGGGTTCTTTACAACATTCATAAAAGCTCTCAGTTCTCTTCCCAGGAACTCCTGAGTAGGAAAAAAGAGGAAGAAAACCAGAAATTAATGTGATGTGAACAAACTGTGTATTATATAGTGTTTCTTTTTTAAAAGGATAAATGTAGTTTTCCAAGTTTTACTACAGGTAAAACTACTTAAGCTTAATTCCCACTTTTCTCAGATAATAAAGGAAAATCAGATAAAAGATACTTACAGAACTCAAGCAGCAAATTTGTCTTTTTTTTTTTTAATATTGATTTGCATCTGAGATCTGTTCTCAAGAATTTCAAATGCCACTGGCTAGGTCATTTATTAATTTAATTTCTGTCTTCATTTCCTAATTGTTACTCCATCCATTTCAGCAGTGAAAACAAGGCTGCAAGTTCACAGTGTAAATAAGGAATTGAGAGCTTACCTACTAAATCCCATTCTCCATTTGAAATATAGCCAGATATATCTGCTTCTTGCATTTGTAAGTCCAAGGACCAGCCTCCATAAGTCCAGGATCCAAACTTCAGATTGCATTTCTGAACATCAAATGGAAACCAGCGCACATCTATGTAGCATGAGCTCTTAAATATGCCTAGGTTGAGATTTTAAAGAAGAACATGTAATTTAAATGCTCATTCCACATAACTTAATGTACATTTTGTAACCAGAACTTATTCTACATTGTGGCTTCAGTTTTTCATTTATAAAGCATATTTCATCTCAGTCCTGTCTCGACATATAAAGAGCAAAAGTCAGTCATAGAGAAGAGAAAGAACTGTACCATTAATGTATTGATGTTATTAACTATTTTTAAAGATACTCTTCCATTTTGGCACATAATGGAAGAATATTCAAAGAACTCAGATTTCTACATACAGTATTTCAGGAAGAACTGAAGCGGAATATGTAATCTGTTTCTATTTCTTTTACATACTTTTACTGACTAAAGTAAGAAATCCTGAAGCGTAAGAAATCCTGAAATATTTATTTGCTGTTTTATTAGATTTATATGATCTTGATTTATTCAGGAAAGCTAGCTTCTTCTTTTTTCACTTGTTGAGTCAGACCCTGTCCTTCAGCAGCTTTCAGAACTGAATTGAAAAACCCCCACCAAATGGAACATCTTATGAGAGCAAAATCATGAAGCAAAGCCCTGAAATCCTCTGGACATCTTAGGCAGAGAACCTAATTTGTCTGGAAAGCATTGGCTCTATTGCTGTAGTTTTCAAAATTCGAATGCTAGGAAGAGTTAATTCTAATAATTATACTAATTAAGTTGGGGAAGAGAAACAGTGCTCCACTGTTATACATCCAGACATCAATTGTTTTGATGAAGCATTTATTGAATCATTTCAAATAGAAATGCATCCAGGATGTTACTAAGCATCTTACTGTAAAATTAACATATTAATAAAAGAAACACTAAAATAATTAAATAAAAATTTATTAAGGCATTACTATGACTTTAATAAACAACATCTTTTTATAGTAAGGACTTCTGAACTTCTGAAATTGTGCATTATGACAGAAGAGTTTCCATAATTGTAATAAAACATGTATCTTGTATGACGGTTTTCATGCAAAGGTGTTAACCATTTAACCATAATGCATCTAGGCTTACATCTATCAAATGATGCTAGATAAACAAATAAAAGGTAAAAGAATTTATGGCAAATTTGAAACCATACCATATACAATTAATCTATCAAAACTTATGACATGCAAACAGCCTACCTGGTGGCAGGTATTGGCAATGTCCTGAAGAATTGACTAAAACATTAGTGTGAAAAGTAGCATCAAATCTTTCATCAGCACTAGAACAGGGGAAAAACAAAATGGGTTATTTGCTCTTTGAGTGGCTGAAGAATGTCTGAGACAAATCTGTTCTCACAAAAGGACTATGTCACCTCAAACACTTGACAGCTTTTTTTCCTGCTATCAGTTTTCTGTGGCCTCACAGTAACTGGCCTGATAGTTCTGGGTTTGCCTCTGATTAAGAACTGTAAGTGAAGGTCAGCCACCTCATACTTGCTGCTCACCTGCCCACTAGATTCATTATAGTGCCTTGGCTCTATTGATTTCCTTTTGGAAAGTAAGCACTTTATAAAAACTTCTCAAAGAGCTGTACAGGGAAATCTGTTCTCTTGCTGTCTACATTAACAGCAGCTAATGAGTACTGAGGAGACGGATACTCCAGTGTCTGTGTCTTCCTACCTCTTTGCATGGGTGAACATTATTACTACATGTCATACATGAGACCCTTTAATGCAGCTCTGGCCTTCATTATCTACCTCAGAACCCACAAACTGAGTTCAGACAAGAAAAAAAAAGCAGCCCTATTTCAGGTGTTACTGTAGTGGTGTGGCCAGCACTGCCCTGGTGTGCTGTCCTTGCAAGTCTCTAGAAGAAGAATCATAATGCCATTTGGAGTGCTCCAAATTATGAATTGGCAACTACTGCCAAGGAATATCTCAGTTCTGTCTGGCACTATGTCCCAGGAATTTACCAGGCATCAACATTTTAAGTACCTCTGTATGGGAAACACAATGAGACACAGGCTACTGTGTTTGTTGTGCTGTTGTAGCCTCCAACCTGTCACCTTGTGGGGTGAGTTGGAATGCGAGGCAAATGCAGAGCCAGCTGTACTGGGCAGGGCAGAGGTGTCACACAAGCCTCAGGGTCCAGATGCTTGCAGCAATCTGGACTTTCAAAACCTGTGCATCTCCAGATTAATTAGAACACTACAAGTCTCTAATGTCTCTTTGCCTGTTAGTGGTCTAGTAGCTCATAATTTTCTAATCACCTTTTAAAACATCATTAGAAAAACAGTAAAAATCTGAGATGGTCATTGTCACATGGGGGTTCTGAGACCTGTTGTGCAGTTTGGCTGGGTTGAGTGTGATTGAATAAATCAGGACAGGTATGATGGAGTGCCCAAAGATAGATTCTAATGTTCACTTGGACCACATGGTCCGAGGGGCTGCATCCAAAGACCCGGGGGCGTAGTGAACAATACATAGGGGTACCCGAGGGCAGCTCCAATCGTGAATACGGACCAGGGACGTGACCTACTATGGAATGATCCCTGTAGCATCCTAATTTCCATCCCTTCAGCATCCTCCCTCCCAGGGTCTCAGGTTTATTCCCCCCATGTCAGGAACCTGGTCCAAGCTATAATCTATCCCATCTGATTCGGTTCCCACAGGTCATAAAGTGAAATATTAATAACTCTAGCAAAAAATCAAGTATTTGAAGGTGTTTCTTAAGAGAAAAACCCTTATTGAGATATCCTTTTATTGAAAAGAGGAATTTAATATTTGATCCACTCTGATGCAAATGTTGTGTCTCAGAAGCTAAAATAAAGCAACTTATTTTAGACATTTTTAATTAGAATTTTTTAATTTTCGTTTTACTTTCCCCTTATATATTTGAAGAACTTAGATTTTAAAAAATATCTGGGCTGGTTTGTGAAATTTGCAGACAAGAAACAGCTAAATCCAAATAATTACTTGCTCATCTGGAGTTGCATTTTTTTCCTGTGATGAGCAGAAGTTTCACAAGTATTGAAACTACTTGCAAGTATTTAATTTGAACTTTGAAGAGAAGCGGACAAGTCTCAGTATTGTGTATGTGTGATGCCTGATCCTAGCACACAGAGGGGAAAAGGCAGCTCAGTCCACAGCTCATGGCTGGATTCTCCTGGTTTGGCTTACAGCTCCTCTTCCAGCTGCAGCTCTAATTCTTCTCCCTCCACATCTTGGCTGCCTCTTTTTGTGATGTTTGTAAGAAACTGATGCTGCAAAAATTTTTACTGATTGCACTGCCAAATTCAGTAGAGGATTTGGAGAGAGAGGCAGCAAGATCACACACACATTCACACAGGTGTGCATGCACACAGGTGCATGGGTCTCATTTCCTTAGAAAACCAGACCTAAGGTCCTTCAACGAGGTTCTGTATTAGACAAATAATTGCTTTGACTTGAAATTAATAAGGGTTAGATGATGGAATTCAAATGAGTAGTCAAATTTAGGATGTAAAATTATCCATGCCACACAAATCACTTGTTAAGTGGAAATTAATGACTCCTGGGCTAAGTTCTGTTCTCTTCCTCAGGAGTGGAGGGCAGTTAAACACCAGGGAGCTGATTCTAAGACCTTGCTGCTGTTTCTGGTAATTGGCAAAAATAGGATTTTCACAAGAACAAATTATCAAGGAACCTTGATTTCATTGCCATATGACTTTGCCTTTCATAGGCACATTCTTAAAAGAAAATCCAGTGGTAGTGAGGTTCAAATATTAAATTCTTTTCTTCTGAAAAAGGAGTGTGTGTTTTTCTATGATGTGCTTCTAATAATTTTTTGAAATGCACTCTTTCTATTGGGAAAGCATTAAAGTAGTTGAAGAGACTGGACTGAAATGTAGTGTAATGATAGAAAACCATTTCTGCTACATTTCCTCTTCAGGGTATAACCCACTTGAAAGCAGATATTGATTACAGGACACTGAGATGACAAAGCTGTACCTAGAAGACAGAATCCCAATGTCCCCTAACCTCATGTTTCTAAAACTGGAAAAATGAGACGTACTTTCCAGAGCTTTTGTTATTCCATGAAGTACTGAACACTATGTGGCCATTTGGAAAATAATTCCACCAGAAATGAGCACTTTTAATAAGTATAGTTAAAAGTGGAAGACAGTCCACATGACACTAACACAGTCAATCCTGGTATTGGTATAAAAGCCTAGATTTTCTTTCCTCAGAAAAACTACAGATGAACTGGCCCTGCTCTCCCCATAATAGACTGGATGTAAAATTTAATACAGCTGCCACAATTTCTCTGTACTAGGCTGCAGCAAGATGTGTAAGAACCCAAGACATAGTGAAACATGCATTCATTAAAATGGAAAGTGAATTTATAGTTCATTAATTTCTCTGTAACTGCAGACGCATGTCCCTAGTGAAGCATAGAAATTGAAAGCATCTATCTCAAAATGGCATGTCACTAGAAGGGAACATCATAATATTCCCAATGTAATTTCATACAGGAATAAGAATTTATTTAAAATAGCTTTGCTCTCTGACTAAACTCTGCATAAGATTTTTGGATTAAATATGTGTTTGTAGTAGCGAAACTGTAGAATAATTATTTCATGACTGAGTCATAGTTAACAAGCTGAAGATTTGAAAACCTGTATTAACAGAAAAATTGTGGTTTCAGTTTTCCAGGTTATTGTGACCCTTCTCATTCTATAAACCACTCCAGCTACAGTTAGCATGCATATATTAATATCACTAATTTCAAAAATATTACCCTTTCATTTTGGATATACTTAAATACTGAAGCCTAAATCATCAGGCACATTGTAAATATCTCTCAGGTATGTGATATATATGAGAAAGAATATTGTCATAACTAATTTTTTTTGGAAATCACTAAATTTCTATTGTAGAGTACCAATTTTATGGTATACACAGCGTATCATTCATCAGGACAATGGAAATGAAGGTGTCATTTGTCAGATTCTTCCAAGAAAATGGTAATTTATGGAATCAAGGTAGCTAGGGATAACTGCTCAAGAAAAGGAATTTGCATTGAAAATTACATTAAGATTAATGTTTCAAAAATACCTGTCTCAGATATCAGGCTGCTCCATTTAGTTTGAAGGAGTGTTTTAGGAGTTTTTTTGTTGGTTTGTGGACAACTTGCCATGTTTAAACCAGAAGTGAGTAGTAACATTGCCAGGCAGGTACCGTGAGTATGGTAAATTGCACTGGAGCTCCCCTCAGGTCACTCAGTGTCAGCTGCACCTCTGGGACAATGCAGGAGCACCCCAGTGCCTGGCAGATGCTGCCACTGGTGCTGCTATCCTATTATTGCAATGCAACAGCACCTGGGACTGCAACATTCAACATAAAGGTGCTCACCAAAAGGCACTGGAGCAAAACTGCAGCTGACATTTGGAACAGCTATTCTCTAGGTATATTCTATTCTAGGTGTATTCTATTCCCTCTCGTTGCAACAAAAAGCAGCTGCTGAAGTGGGAAGGGGAATCAGGTTGATAAGCACAGCGAGGTGTGCTCTTATGAGCCATATAGCAGAGAAACAAAGGAAAGAACACCATCAGGAAGACAAAGGGCTCACATCACCTGCACAGGCAGCAAAACAGTGTACCCTGGCTACCACAGAAGGGCCAGGCTCCATGGACAGAGCAGATGTAAGTTCTTTCCAGTACCTGGGCAACAGCACACAAGCCCATAACAACTGCAGCAGAAGGCAATTTGTTATAGAACAGGCAGCTCTCAGTGTTTTATAGTTTGAACTAAATAAATTCAACAATGGAAACTACCATGTAACAGTACAGCCAAAGAATCTCTCAATGTCAGCCAAAGGTTCTGCAGTGGATAGATGGCAATCTGTCTGTCCCTGAAATAGGCCCAACTCAGAACACTTTGACAAGGAGAGCAGCAAATATCCCAGCTATTTTTGTAGCAGGAGGAAAGAGTAACACCAAAACTGGACATGGAAAAATGCAAAGATCCTTCATGGCAATTGCCTCTCCTGTCTGTAGTGAAACCCAAACTAAACCCTGACAAACAGGCAAACATCAGATTTGAATTCACCAGTAACCATTTAGACCAAAAAAAATCAGAGAAAATTATACTATCCATCCATTGAACACAATCTCCTAAAAGCTACTCAATTAGAATGGTAGTAGGGACTATATTGTTATTCACAAAGTATTTGAAAATATGTCCTTCTGTTCTGTGAACAGGAGACTGGTGATTTTCCAGTATTCCAAACACCTAGAAAGTTTTGGAAAATTATTTTAAAATCTAGGCATTTTGATGAGATGATTATGTCATTTACCTTGCGTTATCTTTGTGTTTGGACAGGGTGCTAGAAAACTTCATGTAGATACCCTTTCCCAAGAAAGGTTGGAGCAGTTGAGCTTTCAGGAGATATTTTGCAGGTCTATAATTCTACAATCTTCCCTCCATCCCCACACACACAAAGAAAACTGTGTCTACCTGTTATAGAGAAGAATATCAGGCTTCCAAATCAGTCCATCAGGAAAGCGGACATTCTTCACTCCAGGGTATTCAGACACATTCCACTGTAGGTAATGATCTGTCCAGTACTAAGCCATACACACAAAAAGCAAGTTAGGTCATCTCATCCACTGGTTTACTGTAGTTCTCTAGGGACTGGGTGAAACAATAGGTGTTCTCTTGTATAGCTTTGGGGAGTGAAATGTTTGGAAAAAGCAAATGAGCACCTAGAGCACAATGGAACTCATAAACCTCTCATTTCAATTCAGACTGCAGTGCACATAACAGCCTAGAAGAGACTTGGGGTGCTTGTGTATTGTTAAAACTGTCTCAGGTGCCAGTTTGGGATTGAACTGCTTTTATAATTCATGCAGTAACTTCCATTATCTTCATAGACAGTTTTATTTTCTGTGGTTGGAAATTCTCAGGTTGTAGTACCTTGCTAATAGCCACGGGGTAGAGCAGCCAGCATTCACTGCTGACAGAAGATGACTGTGATTGCACAAGGTTAATGCCAGCAGAAGGTCTTGGCAGCTCCTGGGGCCTGGCATTGGGCAAACTGAGGCAGCTGCTCTGGTGCACTGCTCAATCCCACAAGTTTCCTCCCTGGCTGGCACTTCCTGCGCTGGAGGTGGCTGCCCTGGGGCTGCCTGTGCTCCTTTCAGCCCAGGCCTGGCTGCTGGCACAGGCAGGCTGGCACAGGCACACCAGCGGAGCTTTGATCTGAGCTCAGCACTGCTAAATCCCACACTCTGCCATTGCAACATATGGTGGTGCACAGCCATAAACAAGAGCAAAGCCCCAGACTGAGCCAGCTGAGCCCTGTGGCAGCCCCAGCAATCTGCTTACCTCCTGCACTCCAGGGAAATAGCATGGGCTGCTGCATTTTCCTGAAATTGAGGTTGTACATCACTCCTTACTATGCAAAGGTCTTGTCATGATACTAGGGTGGTTTCTGTTGTGCACCAAGGGCATAAGGAATATAGTTCAATTCATTTTACAAAATTCACAAAATGTTCTCTCATGTCCACGTTCATTATAATGGACTTCTCCGTGTCTCCATTACTATGTTGTTTACATTAACTTCACTTGGCTGCAGGCATCATGGAGGACTTGTCCAGATTTACCAAGCTGTTGCAATGCCAAATGTTAATTCTTAAATGTAAACTTTTAAATGGGTGAGTAAATGTACAACAGTTGGACTAGTGGTCCTTGTCAAAATGTTTGATAAACATTAATGTCCAAAAAAATTGCCAGTGCATATTGTGGAGGTAAATGTTATTGGTCGTTCTCATGGGGTATTCACATCAAACTGGTCTATGTAATTCCTTGCATTACTGTCACAGGCAAGTTCTGGTTTGATACACCAAGTCCCCAGTTAGCCTCATGCTGCAGGTATTCAAATACATTCTCATACCTTTACAACAGCACAAATGACCATTTTGATGCATTCAGCACAATTAATAGCATTCATCATGCAGCTTTTGTGAAGTGTTTACTATACTTATTTTTGGCCTGTGCTTCTATATCTCATTTTTTACAAAGACTTTGTAGCAAAACCAGACAAAATATCTGAGTTGTGCACTGTTCTTTCCTTTAGCTTTGCAGATAATCATTTTTTATGGAAATCTTCAAATTTTTGGCTCTGTTCATAGTTTCTGTATTCACTGTTCTCTAGTTAAGATACATGTGTTGCTCACAGCCATCTATACACAGCTTCTGTAAGCTGATCAACTGTGTCTCATATTTTTTCAGAAGTTCTACATGCATTTTCCCAGTGAACTGTTTTACATGAACTTCCTGGTTGACAAATGTCACTGTAATTTTTTTACCACTTCATCTTTGTGTAGTGTAGAAGTCCTGAGATGCCAGGACACATCTGTTTTTCCTGAAGGCCAGCAGTGTAAGCAAACAGGCTGTGTGGGTTTAAGGCACAGAAAGCCGTGGCTGTCATGGCTTTGGGTGACTCGTTCTCAGGAGCCACCAGAGCAGGTCACTCGCAGTCGTGGTGGCAGGGCTGGGACTGGCAGGCTGCGTTCACTGCCAGCTGAATGCATCCTGGGTATCAACAGATCCAGTCATTTCCTATCCCAGCTTGCATTAGGAGTTACCATGGCCACTGTACTGTAGCTCAGGATGATGCTGAGTGACGTAAAGACAGTCCAAAGGCAACAGAAAACTTAATATTCAAGCCTGGGTTAGAGATAATGTTAAGCAGATTTTACGGTTGCTCTTTTAGCCCTGTGTACAAAGTGCTCACCCATCCAGCATGATCTGCTGCATTTTGCTTTAACTTTAGAGCTACTGTTAAAGGAGCTGAAGCACCTTTAATTTGGATTAAAATAGCAAAGAGCTCAGGGTACTTTGGTTAGTACCAATCTGTGTGATTAACCAAGGCTCCTGCTATAACTTAGATCAAGTTTTAGATTTTTGATACTGAACAGTATTGCCATGGAGATAGTGGTCGGATGAAATAGTCTGCATGTATAAATATAGATTTATATTCCCCTTTCTCTCAAGTTTTTTTTTTCTATTTAAGTATTTTGGGGATAATTACATAAAATACATTTAAGATACGTTGCTGATTATACACACATATATATCAAAGTTTGTAGTGGAGACAGATTTCAAGGAAAAACTTATTTCAGATCATTTAGAATAATAAAGTGACATATGTTTGCCTTAAGCATGCTTTGAATCTGTCTAGAACACCATTAATAGACAGTTAATATGCAAACACTTATTTTTATGTGTACACAAGCCAAGAGGAACGGCTACATTTTTTTGTAGTAATCAAGTGTAGTTCATTGCAGTCTTAATGTGCTTCATATCCAGTATGTGCTAAGGTGAATAAATCAAAAGAAATACAGAAGGTATAATATAATCAAAAATTTCCTAAGGGGAAAAAAACTAACTCAAAAAGGATAAAGGATGCTGTGAGATAAAAGAGAAGGAAAATAAATTACAGCCTCTTGAGTATGAATTGTTGTCTTTTTTACTGGTAAGAAATCATAGCAACTATGGTCTTTGTAGGTAAAAGCCAAAAACATATTATATTTGACATTTTTAATCCTGCTGTACAACAGGCCTGTAAAAAAGCATGAGTTTAATGCTTCTTCCATGACAGATTTTCTTTGTGAGTATATGGAATAGTCATGCTATCCTTACAGGTCATCAGAATAGTCTTTTATTTGTTTCCAAAGGCCTACCCCAATGCAAGGGAGGTGCTCTATCTAAAATGTTACAATAAAAGAAAAAATAATGCCTTTAAACTGAATGAGCTGGTAAAAAAACTGAAAAGTGTAAAGTTTCTGCAAAAGCCGTGTGATTGGAATAATAGAAATCTTCTGTAACTTCCTCTACATAACCCAAACAGTTCAGTTTCTGTAATACTGATGGGAATTCAACTAGTGACAAATTCTCATCCATGCTGCTAGAGATGGAGAAAACTCCACATTACCCTGTCTATGCAGAGCTCAAGACAAACTTGTGGTGGAAAGGCTTGTGGATACATTAGGACTCCACAGGAGTCAGCATGCTAAGAAGCACCTTGTTAATTCTGAGTCATAATGTAACCTTTCAGAGAAAATAATTTCAAAATACTCTCACAAAGTTCTTGAATTGTCTATTATATGTTCCATTTATTAAAAATTGACTCCTGCCCAGCAATACTGGCCATGAATTAATGAGGACAAAGTTCTCCGCTGTGGTATCTAGTGGAAGGAAAGAAAATCTGACATGGAATTAGGAATCAACTCATATTTTCTTACAGACCTGAAAACTTTCTAAAATTCAAGCCTGTCACCAGATTAAACTCTAAGATTGAAGGGGGAAAACACATACTTTGTTTCAAAACTTACCATTTGTAGCCAAATATTTGTTGTTAATACTTGATTCTTTTCATCCTGGAGAGAAAGAGGAGAGGAAGAAGAAAAAACTACCACTTGGTACCATACAGATAAAATAATACCATTAAATTTATTTGTCTATTATAAAATAGTCAGTGTGCTAAAGTACCTTTCAAGGCAATGGGACTCATTGCCACTCACTTATTGGAACAACAGTTTTCATGGGTACTTCTTAATTTCAATTTTACATTACCACAATCAGTCAAACTGTTTCCTGGGGGTATCCTTGTTCCAGACTGGTCCCTGGGGCTCCTTCCTTAATAAAGAATCTCCAAAGGCAAGGCAGATTACAGTAGGGGCTGCCTGTATCACCTTTCTTAGGAGCAGCCCTGTCACTAATTAACCTTATCCACCAGACATACACAGGCAGTAGAAAAAACAATGAGCAAAGTGTGGCAGAGCTCAGGTGAGGTGTGTGGAGGCCATTCTGAAGAGCTGCTTAGCAGGCAGGTAGCACCACTCGTGCCAGTGGAACTGTACCAAAAGTGTTACATCAGCTTTACCAGAAAACTGTGGTCAGGGCAGAATATTATCATTCTTTGAAGGCCTTTCCCCTGGACTCCTGTGGCTGTTTGATGTAAGTTCAGGTGACACAGCAGGCATCTTAATGCTGAAGTTGTAGACTTTAATTCTTCACTGCTCAGACACAGGAAAATATCAGTGACATTCTTCTGTGGAGGTACCGTATCAGCATACATGTGAGTTGTTTGAAGTGAATGGAATATACTATATATGCAGTCAGTATTCCACATTTTCCAATCTGAGCACACAATCCCTATCCCAACACCAGTCAAAGCTCCATTTACAGTCTGAGAAAGTGTCATAGGAAATTCAGTCACCTGTACAGCCTCAACTGCCAGAGTTGTTCATATGTCTAGTCCTCATATGTTTAGATCTCTGAACTTAAGTCTGTCACTCTTGAACTTAAATGTCATTCCTAAATGCCAAAAAAAGGCCAAAAATATTTAATCACATTTCATACACTAAAAAAAAAACTTTTTTAATTACATGCTTTTACTAAAGTTCGATCTCTTTCCTCTTCTGCTCTTGTTTTGTGAACTACTAACCAAAACAAACTCCTGAGGGACCTTTCATTGCAACCATTTTAGATCAGCACAATATAGGAAGTTACACAGCATGTAAAATCAAATACCCTGCAAGGGACAATGGCATTTTTAAAGCAAAGGAAGCCTTTTGACGAGCAGCATCAGTAAATGTATGACATTGTTACTAGGCTGTGTATAATCACAACTAAATGTACAGCATACAAAAAGAAAGATTTTAAATAGAGATGGCAATGTGCATGAATAAAGTATACCTTCATGCACACTTTTACCTTGCTTTAAAACAAAAAGTAAAATAAAAATATAAATAATCACAGACCACAGTCATTCAGCACTTTTCCTCTCTATTTTCTGCTTCATCACCACCACGAGCCTTTTTCAAAATTATCTCAAGTGAACAACTCATTTAAATGGCATCCTGGGGAAACAGGTCTCTAACCATTTGGTTTCAGAAATCCATTATTAAGCTCCACTGAGTCTGCATGGTGAAGGCATTGCTGAAGATGTCAGCTAGGCAAACCAGTAATTAATATAATACTAATACTAGTAGCTGCTATTCTCTAGCTGCATAAACATTAATTTGGAACCTCTCTCAACAACCTGCTTATAGAGTAAGAGCACTACAAAACTAGTTTTGGATCTTTAATTCATGAATGAACAATCCTTAAGAGATCATTCACATCACCATGAGCTGAAGTCTAATGAGAAGGGTTGCCAGTTCAGGGTGTGTAAAACCTTCATGTTTCTATTTATTGTGGGCAGTTTTATCTGAGATGGAAATACTGCCAATGATAAATTATCCTCCAAAGTTCAGTAGCATTTTCTCAAAGCTCTGTGTGCTGTCCCAGGTGAACATGACAAGTTCCTATAATGTAATGTCCTGGCTCAGCACCTGAGCAAAGCTGAGAGCACCACTGCTGGGTGGTTTCCCTGCACAGGCATAACTAGCTACTCAGAGATGCAGAGCAATTCAGAATCCATTATGTTGTGGGAAGCCTGTTTCAGGACTATTAGCTGAATACCATGTATTCCTGCATGGTTAAATCCTGAGTTAAACTCTCATTTTATTCCCAGTGTGATCTCTTTCTACACATGAGTGGCCCCAGCTTTAAAGTAGTGATGTTTTAAAAGGTCCTGCTCAGCAGCCAGAAGGAGATTGTACTGAAGCTGGAGTGCTGCTGGTGCTTGAGCTGATGCTATGCCATGGGGATCTGCTGGGAGGGCCTGAGCCCACAGCACAGGCATGGGAACTATTTCAGGAGTAACAGGAGGGAACTCTCCTGTCAGTGCACATCACAGAGCCAGGACAGAGAGCAGCCACTGAGCACTCAAAGTAGCACAGCAGAAGGGGACAGCAGACTTCTGAACCAGCTGTGCTGCTGGCAGCATGATTCAGCTGCCTGCCACTGCCAGGCACATGGCAGAGCATCGCAGGTTGGCATGCAGGACACTGCAAGCATATTCTGAAAGCCAAGAGTTATTCTGAAGTGTGATCTTTCACTCAAACCTAGCTCAAAGAGCCTATTCTGAGAGCACTGACTCAAATGTGACTTGTACTCTGAAGACAAGCCCTGAGTAGATGACCCATGCTGTTTTCATGGTATTTCTTTCTGTTATTTGAAGCATTTAGTTTGAAAGAGAGTTACATATGAACTATATAATTTCCACTTGAATCACTATATTTAAGGTTCCATCAGTGTTTGAATCATAAATCCTACCATTGCTCCTCGGCTATAAAAACTTTACTGCCTGCTGAGGTTTGGTTTATAGCAGTTCTGAGTTTTTAATACTGTTTGTTGGAGCAAACCATTTCCAAGATTTTGTCATTATTGGATTGATTAATCCATCACTAGAGGAAAGGTTCTGATTTTAGAGAATTTGTCACTCTCTGTGGCCCCAAGTGAAGCTGGTAAGAGGTGGGGCAGGAGACATCCTGCAGGGTTTCTCCCTGCTTAGGAGAGTTCTTTGGACACTGTCTTAAATGCTTCACAGCAAACTACATTAACACTCTTTTCAACAGAGTTGTGCAGTACCTCCCCATAAAATAATGGGTGGGCTTCAGATGCTTCACAGAACTTCACCAGTTTTTGTCACTTCATTTTGTAAACACTTACAGAACACTTTATGTGTTTTGAACACAAAAACAAGGAAGCTTCTATTACAAACCCTTTCTGCTATAAAGGAGGAAAGAAAAATGGCTTCACGGTATAATCAGAGATGTTGGAGAATATTCCCAGAAGAGAATGATACCTGACACTATATCATGTTTGGATTGGTGTGGTGTTTCCTCCATACCAGCTGCTTTAAGTTACTTGCTGTTATGACAGTACTGGCCAAGTAGCCCTGCTAATGGAGAGTTAGGTTTCCTTGGCACAGTGGGAAGTGGGTGGAAGCTACCTTGGTCTATCCATAACTACAGTTAAGATGTGAGAGGACAGACAGAAAATTGCTGCTGGTCTGCTTGTCATGTTATTTTGTGGAAGTGCAGTTTAATGAAGGGAAAGTAGGAGACTTGAATGGTCCTTCATTCATTTTTGAAGGTAGAGGTAATAATTTCTGCCAGTCTTTGAAGGAAATAGCACTGTCTCCATTCTTCCAGGTCCCACCCCTTGTTTTGTATTTTTTTTTCAATTTATACAAGTCATCAGCCTGATCACTTTTGGAAACAGTTACCAGAGTCTCAAATTATCCTTCCCTTACCCTGTCTTCATCAGAATATATAAAAGAAGATGTAGAAACTTGATAATGCTTTATGAAAGGTGTTAGCCTGGACATTATAAATTCTGTAATGACATCTGTAGACTTTAAAACGGATTTCAGCACACGTAGCATCCACACTAGAAAAGCTACACAGGAACTGGAAGGGAAAAAAGAATTAAAATAAAACTGCTAGCCTAGAGAGTGGCATGCAGTGATGTGCAGCACCTAGCAAGAAACACATACTTCCCAGGGACTAGCATAAGGGGATATCCTGACTAAAATCTATGAGCTGTAATTTTTGCACTTCAGATTATTTATTTTTACGTGGTTGAATCTCACCTAAATTACAGGAAAACTTACGGCTCTTTGAACTGGGCTTCAATTACTTTGACTCTTAATAAAGGCTTTGTAAGAACATTTAAAAACATCACATGTTACACCATCAAACTATGCTCCTGCTTGGTACCCTCTAGCAAAACTGAAGTAATAACTGTAGTCCGAAGTTAACAACACCCTGACAGCCAGTGAGAAACATTTAAGACAGTTTCTTAACTGATTTTCACTTTTGTGTGCTTGAAAGTCATCCTACTGAAACCAGCAGGTTTGTCAGTTCATTAGCTCTTATTGTCTCAGCACTTGCTCATTAAACATTTTCTACATCTTCTGATCCACAGTGTCAGATTACCTGTGCCTAATGACATTTCCCCCCCCATCATTTAAAATCCTGTTATGTTTAATTTTTGCTTCACACAGCTTGGGGTTTTCTTCCTGTTCCTTTTTAGGGTCATGCACTGAGCTCACTGAATTGTATGTGAAAAGGGTTGTTCAAGAAATATAAAGATGAAGAAAGTCAGTGTACATGATTTGTGATATTAAAGACTGGAGTTCCTGATGCCTCTTTCCCACATGACTTCCTTTTCACCATTAAAGGAACAGGCCAGTGCAATTACCCTGCACTGACATTGGTCAGCAATAGACCTGTTTATACAGTAAAATGATTTTGACTCAGCTTACAGCACATATTTCCAATTATGGAGAAAATGCTGTGTAAATAGTTATTACCACTGCATAAATAATATTAATTATATTCCATGATCCAGCATGTGAGATTCAACACCAGGAACAAACAGAATGTTTCTGATTTCTTGAAAATAGGTGCAAAAGACAGAGAAATATTCCATAAAATGTCAGAAGTGAAAAATATAAATTTTCACTGTTGCACCACATTTTTTG